TGCCCCTGTTCCTGTGGGGGCTCCAGCTGCAGACTCCAGGAGAAGCAGTGCCCCTGCACCCACGGGGGCTGCAGCAGTTCCTGCCAATCCAGAGAAACCACGGGACCCCAGGCTGGCCAGTAGAACTGAAGGAAAAGGGAAGGAACAGGTTGTGAAAGACAACAACTGCCCAGTCCAGAGCCATCCAGGATCCACAACACAGCAAGGCCTGGCTGTGTCCTCAGCTGCCAGGGATCAGGTTTCCAGAATAGGTGCCAGGGATCAGATTTCCAGAACAGAAAACGTTAAGAAGCCCCAGGAAACAATAGGACAATGCAATGTGCTTCCCACGTCTTCTTACAGCGCTCGGCACGAGGGTGACCAGAGAGGAGCTGTGTCCAAAAGCAGTTCAGGAGCCCCCAGTGAGAGAGGTCAGAAGAACAGCAGTGAGTGGAGCAGAGACTGTCGTGGTTTAACAGGGAGACCACCAGAGGAATCACCAGAGAACACAGACCCAAGCTCTGCCAAGCGAAGGAAGATCTTTCACTGACTTTAATATTGGCTCATTACTGAAAATCTATTCCCAGATCTGTGCTAGCAAGGACTGTGTTTTAAATTATTTAGCACACCTGGACCTCCCTTATATTGATCCCTCTACTCTAAGTGGATCTTTTCCCCATCCTGTCCCTAATTGTGAAGGGACTTTATACCTGGCAGGTGGTAACTTTGAGCTTGTGAAAAGACAAGTTGGGTAGCTGCATTGCTTGGAAGAGCAGTGAGTTTTGTCATCTAGGAAGCTAAGGTTGTAAATGTTTAACAATGTATATTTGTACAGTATACAGAATTATTTTAAGATTTAATTTGGCAAATATAGAGCTGCTTGTTTCCTTGTGTAAATGCAAATTTCTTAGTGATGGAATTTTTTACAAAAAAACAGAGTAAAGTGAAAAAAAATAAATCCAAACCAACCCCTCAAAAAACCCACCCCAAAATCCCAAAACTGTAGACAGACTTCTTTTTCCCTTTGCACTAGTGAGACTAATTTATTTGGTAGCAAGGACTGAATGTTGCAAACGTGGTAGCAGTGGTTCTTCCTCCTGCTCCTCAAGTGCCTCAGGAAAGACTGAGGCAGATGTACATTGGTTGAATGGAGAGAATTCTACTTATTTTGTGTATTTTATTGCTTGTTTTTATAGGAACAAAAGAGCTTTCGTTTGTACAAATGTGCCTTGAGTTTTGCTCTTGCTGCTGCCCCATCAACTGGAATCCCCTTTCTTGTTGCAGTGGCAACACAATCTGCAGATTAAAGCCTGTGGTCTGTTTGATCCCACTGTGTCCATGTGAGGAATAATCACCAGCACTGTGGAATCTTGGTCAAAGATCTAGTTAGTAGTTTATTATTGATAACACCGAAGTTTGTTTGTATGGAGCTTTTGGTTATCTGCAGGGATAAAAAAGACAAGCAGTTCCTTCTGGGTGTTATTACTGAGTTCTTTCCACTGTGCTGATGAATATACAGCCAGTAAAAGGGGATAAGGGAAAACCAAACTCATTTTAAGAGTCTTCCTCTCATCACATCATCTCACAATAAAAGTGGAATAATTTCTACTAAGAATTCCCTTGGGTTACTGGGAAATAGCACTTTCTTTTTCTGGAGCCTGTGTCTGTCTCGTGGAGGTGAAGAGCAACATTTCACACACAGTTTTGCACAGAGTTACTCTGAGCCTGCAGCCCCTTGGGAATGGACCTGTTGCTGTGTCAGTGGCAGTTGGGTGCTCTGAGGGGCACAGCTCACCATTTCCATGTGTCTGTGTCCAAGCACAGCCTGAAGCAGGCACTGTCCTGCTGTCCCTTGTGCTTAACCAACCTCATGGCAGTGGCTTTGCTGAAGCAAATGAACCACCAGACTTCTCTGGCCACAATTTGCCATCATTTTAGTTACATTTTCTGTCCTGCACTCATTGCTGTGATTTGTGTCAGCTTTGGCCTTTTAACCCACTGCCAAGCAGGTATGTGTGCTGCAGTTCAGGGAAGCAGGTGCCTTACTGTACAGAACATCAGGTGCTGGTTCAGGCTGTAATTGCCAGTAAAACTTAACATCCTTAATGCATCCAAGCCTGGAACAAATGTGCTTTACTGGTAACTGCTGCACTGGAGGTGTGTTGAGAGGCTTTTAGTTACTGTCTGTGACTGTCCAACTCTGCTGTGCAGGACAGAGTATTTTAATCTAATGGGCAAATCTTTGAGCCCCTGTGAGGTGAAATCAGCCTCTGGGCATTGTTTAGTTGGAGTTATTTGTTATGTTGCAATCTGATTCCTTCAGTGAGCCCTGACCACCTCTTGTCAAGAGTGTGTGCTCCTCTCCAGCTGCTGTGAGAGAAGGAAAGCTGCGTGGGTGAATCTGCCTAACAAACTGGACACTTCAGTCACTCACACCACAGACTCTGTGCCCTATGTGTTATCTCCCTTTATGTCGATAGGCATATTCAAAGCTACTGTCACCTTCCAATCCCTCTTGGCTCTTCCTGGCAGGGCTGTGCTGCTCTGCCTGCTGCTGGCATTTAGCTCTGAGAACAGCCCTAGGATCCCACAGCTGGGGAAGCCATTTGGACTGTCTCCATGTAAATAAAGTGAAGGTGGCAACAGTGTCAATGAGGAAATGCTTTTCTGGTAATTAAATATAATTTTGTCACAAGAATGTTTCTCTGAAACTTTTCCTCTCGTTTCCTTTCTCCTCAGTCTGCCATTCACAACATGTTCTGTGTGATACTTGCCACGTGCTGGAAGGAATTTTGTTTTAATCTTTCATTTTTTATCATGCTCATAATGCCTTTATTTTTGCATAAACCATCTCTGAGGTGTGGTCATTGGCTCAGACCTTTTTGCTGATTTAATACTGGATTTAGCTGCCCTAAGTTGTCAGTTTTTCACAGTGGCTTGCTGCTGTGTCATCAGTATCATTCATGGTGTGTTTGTGAATAAAAAGGTGTTGGGTCACTGCACTTAGAGCACTTTTCCCTCTTCACATACCACGCAGAGTAGGTTGGTAGCTTTAATTAGCTTTGTCCCTTCTGTTTTATACCCCTAACATAGTAAACCAAGTAAAATCCAATCCATGCTTCTCACTGATTCCAATCTGCAATGAGGAACAAACAGATCAGGTACAATTTCCCTAACTTCTCTGCTGTTTCCATTGTGTGCTACAAAGTGCTGAGCAGTCTGTGTGTGTAAGCTGTGAGCAGAGACTTGCTGTAATCATTTATAACAGAGGATGTTGTTCAGTGGTTACTGAGTGTTAAAGTCAGAGAAATCAGTGAAGAAACATATTCAACACAACTCTTAAGTAAAACACTTTAATTGGAGGTTGTGCCAAAAAATCCCCTTGAAGAAGCAGCATCCAGGTTTTTATACAGAGGTTTCCATGCTGCTTCCAAGCTTGGCAGCTGAATTCTCAGTGCAAGGCCAGTTCCCTCTGTGATCTTGGACATCACTAAGAAGGGAAAGTCTCTTGCAAGTGTTCAGAGTTCAGTTTTTTGGGGGCATTTTTTAGTACTTACTCTTTGTACACAAAATAGGCTTTTCAGTAAAGGTAGAGTATAATTGTGGTTGTTTCTTTTCCTTTAAGCTTTGCTGTAATTGTTCTCCATGTCACTCCCAATCCACCAGGCGTGTATAATAATGACATCAAACAGGTACTTGTCTGGTAAGTGTTCCTTACCTATGTGTCACTGTCCATGCACTGTGCTGTGGAGTGCTGTCTTACCAGCTGTGCCTGCAGCTGTCTGCAGCCACCAGAGGGAAAACAGCAGTTTGCAGGAGCATTAGCCACTCTTGGAAATGCAGGAGGGAGGTGCTGGCTCCTCAGTGTGGTGCTGGGGGTAGCAGGTGAGCCCGAGGAGTGCTGAGAGCTGGTGATGCCTCTGGGTGGTGGATAACAATCATGAGAGCTGTGCCAGGCTGCTGGGAGGATGTGAGGGAGATGTCAGCCTCTCCTCCCTCCCAGTCTCATCTGTTTCTAATGCTGGTAGTGCTGGTGGGACAATGAGATTACAGTGCTGTCTCCTAAAGCAGCTGAGTGTAATGGATGGTGGTTTGGGAGCTGGGAGACAGTTATGCAAGGTGTTCAGACTGGCAAGGCTTTGACCACTGCCAGGGTTGAGGCAGCCACAGCCTCCCTGGGCAACCTCTGCCAGCATCTCACCAACTTTACAGTAACAAACATTTTCTAATATCTAACCTAAACTTTCCCTCCTTCAGTTTGAACCCATTACCCCTTCTTCTATCATTGCAGTTCCTAACAGAGTCCCTCTCCAGCTCCTTGTAGGCCCTTCAGATAGTGAAAAGTTGCTATGAGGTCTCCACATCTTCTCCAGGCTGAACAGCCCCAACTCCCTCAGCCTGTCCTCACAGGGGAGATGCTCCAATCCTCTTAGCAACTTTGTGGCCTCCTCTGGACTTACTCCAGGAGTTCCATGTCCTTCTTACATTGGGCTGAGCTCACACTGCAGCTCATGGTGAGCTTCTCATCCACTGTCACTCCCAAGTCTTTCTCCTCGTTGCTGGTTTCAATTCCTCCTCCACCCAACCTGTAGCTGTGCCTGGGATTGCCATGACCCAGATGTAGGACTTGCACTTCATTTTGTTGTACTTCATTTGCATTGCATTGGCCCAACCTCTCAAGCCTGTCAAGGTCCCTCTGGATGGACTTTTCAGAACTGACTTTTGGCAGTCACAGGAGGGTGGTGAGATGCTGGGGGGTCACTTTTGTGTAGAGAAGGGAGAGACTGGAGTACCCAACAGCTGGAGCTGGGCTCTTCATTCACAGCGCAGTAGCTGCAGCAATTCCATGGATAAGCAGAACCACAGTCCTAAAAATGCAAGCCTGTCAAGGTCCCTCTGGATGGACTTTTCAGAACTGACTTTTGGCAGTCACAGGAGGGTGGTGAGATGCTGGGGGGTCACTTTTGTGTAGAGAAGGGAGAGACTGGAGTACCCAACAGCTGGAGCTGGGCTCTTCATTCACAGCGCAGTAGCTGCAGCAATTCCATGGATAAGCAGAACCACAGTCCTAAAAATGCAAGACGTTCTCTCTAGTCTGCATGAATAAATGATGGATGAAATGACTGCTGTATTGTAAATGGAATTTATAATGTTAATGATATAGTACAGTCTCTTGCCACAACGGGCCCATTCCCAAGTAATATAAAAGGTCTCCTTTCTTGTCTTTTTAAGCTGCTTGGAAAGCAGCCCAATGCCTTATTCTTTAGTGCAAGTAAATGTAAGCTAAGCAGCCTTGTACATCGAATATCGCTGACACTTGAGACCTCCTTGCCATATGTACCTGTCTGCTAAGGCCTTGGCTAATTTGCCACCAACTCCCAGGAAAAATGTGATAGAAATGAAAGTGGTTTGAGAGCACATTACATCTGGTATTGAGGAAATGTAGAAAACCTTGTTTTATAGCCTGGCAAGCTGTACTGGTGTGTCTGATGTTGTCGCTGATTTCGCTGTTGCATGAAGCTTGAACTCCCTTTGCTACAGGGAAATCCCATCGGTGTCCCCTCTGGTTTAACCCCTGGAGTGACACTGAGCAGGGTCAGGATGGAGCTTTTGGAGTCCAGCATTGTTGCTGGCCAGGAGAGAAGGCAGTTCTAGGGGGAAACTGGGTGGGTTTAGGCTTTCCTCACACGTTTCACCCTGCACTGAAACTTGTTACAACACGTAGAGAATCCAAATGCCAAAGGAGCCTTTAGGAGGCTCTGAAGCTTTTCTCTGCATCTCAAATCAGGGTGTGATTTGCAGTTGTTTTCTGTGTGATCATGGCCAAACTCTCCAGCTCCCTACCAGAAGGGATGAGAAGATGGGGATAGAAAGCTCTTCAAAAGCCAGCTCTGCTCTTATTTCTGAGCAAGAACACTCAGCTCCTCCTTTATACTTTGTTTTATTTACATTTGAGACTTTTTACAAAAGCCAATTTCAGAGCATAACTGGTTGGTGAGACTGTTGGTGTTATTCCCACTAAGTGTTGGTGCTCTCTCTCCTCCAGCCTCCGCAGGGCTCCTTATGGATCATTCCTGCAGATGATTTGTCTCCTTCCCCGACATAACAAACCAAGTAACATACCTGGTAAGTGCCAATGGAATTTTCCCCCCCTCATTCTGTCTCCAGCTCCCAGGGACTGGAGGCTTGACATTTTATCTGGCATTGAATGAATCTTCATCAAGCCCAAGTGCTGTTGACTCCTCTGCTGCTGTGGACTTGGCCTGGCTGCAGCCATCTGGCACATCAGGCAGGTTTTTGTTGCTTTTGGGGCTTTTGGTTATTTGGCTTTGTCAGTGCTCTAAATAGTTAAAATCAGAGCAGAATTTGAGGTAAACAAGAAGAATCAAAAGCTCTGCTTGTACTGTTTGAAGAGGTCACTTATTTTTTTTTTTTGCAGACAGAAGTGTAATTTAAAAACTTTTTGAAACAAATCACATGCTGGGGACAGGATGCACATGGAACCTCTTGAAAGAGCCCAAGTGGCTTTTCTCAGAAAGAGAAGTACTTTTTGGTTAACCTTTCCACAAGTAAAGTACCAAGCTCATTGGACAAGTTCTCCCATTTGGAAGCATTAACTGATGTAAAAATGTTTCTAACTTAAAGAAGGTGAACTCTGGGATCTGCAGGTACTTGCTGTGATGGTTTCTCTGTGTTATTTCAATAATGCTCTGTTCTCTTCATGCAGACACCTGTCTGCTAACAGATGTCTGTACTTAATGGGTCTTCGGTGCTGAAGCTTTCAGAAGCTTTAAATTATTTTCTTAAATACCAAGTTTAAGTTTCATGTGAGAGGTTTTATTTTCTGTCTCACAGTGCCTTGTGCTATGTGATTGCAAGCTCTCTAGCACGTTGGGCAGGTAAAATGTCATCCTGATGTTCCATACATGGGGCTGTGTCTGAGCCAGACTGCCCTGGCTGCAGGCAGAGCCACAGGAGGGAAATCTGAAACTCCTTCTTTTGGCTCTCCTCTTGCTCACAGCCTTTGGGCCATTTGATTTCTTCTGTGAGGTGAAGCATGTCGTGTTTGCCCTTTGCAGTGACTATCTCACAGTGAGTTTTGCTTCTGAACAACTGGGAAGAGCCTAAGGATGCTGTTTGTAGTGTGGAGGGTTGGTTTGGTGTTTTGTTCCCTGGCATTTTTCAGGTGACCTGTGGCATAGATGCAGCAAGGTTAGCACTGCAACCTTCTCCTTCTGGTTGAACATGCAGAACTACTCACTGGGTTTGGGTTAAAGCAGGTCCAGGAGTGACTAGTACTGGTACACAGGGTTCCTAGGGAGGTGGTACCATCTCTGGAGCTGAGCTGGGAAAAGCCAGTGATGTTTTATCTTCAAAACATCTAGTTGAAGATGTCCCTGCTCAGTGCAGGGGAGTTGAACTAGATGACCATTAAGAGGTCCCTTCCAATGCAAACTATTCTATGATTCTGAAACACCAAACCCATCAGACAACACCCAATCAACCAAGAGAAAATCCCCAAACCTGGAAAGGGCTAGTGCATTGGTCTACTGCCTCTGGCAGTCTTCATCCCTGGGCTGTTTTGAGCTTTGTTGTGCCCTTCTGAGGTTCTTTTCCATGAGAATTTGGTGCTGCTGCTTGTCACGTTCAGCCTGCATTGCAATAAAGGTGTGTGTTTGCAGGGACTCTGCTGGGTGCAGAGTGTGGCTGGGATGTGGCTTTATGAAGTAGTAAATTTTCTTTTGCTTAATCTAATATTACAGAGAAAAACACCAGTACAGGGAAAGGAGAATGTTGCTTCACCCTCCAGAAGGGCCATTAGAGATCCTGATCTTGTTACAGACTTTTCTCTGCTATTACTTGTAAGAACAGTAATGTACAAGGATTTAAAATCTATTGCAGCCAGAAAGTACAAAGAAAGAACTAGTGTCGATACCACCAGAGAGCAACAGACTGTGTTAAAGGCAAGAGAGGCAATGCTGGGGCCACACCACTCCCTCAAGGATCAAATCTCAGCAGGGTGAGTTTAACCCTCTTTTATTTTATGGTGAATTAGCTAAGCCCTGTGCTCAGCCTCTGCTGTGTTCAATGCTGCTCGAAATGGGCACAGATTTGTGTCATTTATTGATGTGACAATACTCATCCTGCACCTTTGCTCCTGTTTTCCTCTCCTTTTCCAAAGTACCAGCTCACTGCTCCCCTGTCCCTGGAGGTGTCTGTGTTTCAGTGGCACTGGCTGTGTGTGCAGTATCCAGTGTGAGGCTAGAAAATCCTGCAGGTTTTTGCACTTCTGCAATGTGAGCTGCTCCTGGGCCTCTGAGCAGGATGGGCTGCAGTGACAGGACCATGGAGACAGTGTCAAAACAGAGCAGATGTTAACAGAGAAGAGCTTCACTCAGGCAAGGACACCAGACATGGAAATGGCAGTGGAGGCTGAAGCCTGGACTGTGTGGGGCTCCTGGGCTGGCTCAGGGAGCTGTGTGGAGCTGGGATGGGACCAAGGGCTGCTCATCTGCCAAGGAAACTCACCCAGAACTGAATGAGCTGGAGCTGAGGGTGTCTCCTGTCTTCTAATCATCCATCAATTCCTGGCTTGGTAAATCTTTGGACATGACAACATTTAAGCTCTCGTGTTCATGACATTCCTGTTGTTCTGTCTGAGTGACATCATTTCTTGTCTCTGATTTCTCCTGCCTTCATTTTTGCGCTTGACTGCAGATGCCTCCTCAGATAGGGGCATGTTTATGAGCCTCAAATGAGTTGAGCTAGTCCCTGTGAGCTCAGTGCTGAAGTTCTAGGCTGTGGCTGCTTAAAATAAACAGCATTTTCTGCACAGGTACAGCTTCCAGCTGGAGGCAGGAGGGACTGCTGTGGGATTGGGACAGCTGAGGTTCCTCTGGAGAAGCATCCCAGGACTAGCCAGTCTCCTCCTGCCACAGGCTCATTTGGAAATGGCCATTCCACACCAGAGTAGTGCTAAATATATCACTCAGGCTTTGTTCATTGTCTACAGTTAGAAGTCTAACCTAGGTTCAGCAAAGTAATTAGGAGAAATAATTAACAGCTCTCAGTGATGAGGCAACCTCTCTCCCTCCCCTCTCCCTCTCCATGTGGTACACCTTGGTAGTGACTCAGAAAACACAAGAGGACATTATGAATCAAAAAAATAAGTCTTTACCTGTAATTAACTGTGCACACAAAAAGGAAAACGTGGTGATCAAGCAGCCATTAATAGTTGCTTTACTGGAGGAGGATACACCAGAATCAGATGCCCATGGCAAAATGTCCCTTTAAGTTGTGGTTCTGTTATAACATTTAATCCAAACAAAAATAAGTCTCTACCAAAAAAAAAGAAGTATTTGAACCGTACACTATACGGACACGTGTGGGTAAGACACTGCACTCCTCACGTACCATACTCCTCCCAGCCCCTGTGTTCTCCGTAAGTGCAAGAAAACAAACCCAATTTCAGCAATGAAAATACAAAATCGATGCAGCAACTAGTCGTAGGCAACAGTATGTGCGTGGCCAGGCCAGGCCGATAACGTGGGACGTGGGACTATGCAGCAGGGATGGGCCAGAGTCCCCTTCCCTCCCTCCCTCCCCCTGCCTGCTGTGTCGTGGGGCTCTGGAGTTGGCATGACAGGCTCTTCAAACAGGACACTAAGAGGAGGACAAATAAAAAGAACACCCCAGCCTATACCAAAGTAAAGAAAGTAACCATAAAAAAAATATCCCTTGGATTGCGCAGGGCCTGAGCAGCCCCAGGTCGCCCTGTGCAGAGCAGGGAAGGAGAGTCACTGTGCAGAGGGAGGGACAGGACCATGTCACCGTGTCCCTGGCACAGGCTGGTGCAGTCCCCACGCCGCTGCTCGGCTCTGCGGCCACCCCGGGATGGGCTCCTGGGCAGGACTCAGCCCTGGATGTTCTGCATACCTCTCTGCTTGGAAAGTGGACCGAAAGACGTTGTGCAAGTCCTAGCGTGAAGGAAGGCAGAGGAGATGGTGGGGAGAGCCACCCATTACCTTGGTCTCCCCAGGTCCCTCGGGTGACGTGCCTGGGCTGGGCTCCCTGCTCTGCCTTCAGAGGTCCACCCAGCCACGCAGCTGCAGGACGAGCACCCCCAGGATGATGGTGCCAAGGCTGCCACCTGCCCTGGGGGCACCGTCACAGTCCTTTTTGTCCACTTCACACCTGGACTGCTGGCACAGGACCCCCTTGAAGCCCACGGGGCAGATGCAGCGCTGGTTCTGGTAGCAGGTGCCGCCGTTCTGGCAGAGCAGGAGCTCATCGTCGCACACGTTGGCTGCAAGGGCAAAGGGAAGGGAAGGATGGTGGTTTTACCTTGGAGTATGTTCAACTCCTTGATTGCAGAAGAAACTAGAAGCTTTTAGCTCTACCACTTATAGTGCTAGAGCAGTTCCAAGCCAGAGGAACACAGTGGGAGCTGCAAACTCCAGGGCAAAGTCATTTTGGATTTGGGAGGAATGGCTGAAATCTGCTCGCCCTACACCCCGAGCATCACAGGACACGCGAGCTGGCAGTGCTGAAGATCCATCCCCCTCCTGTTGGGACCCATCTCAGACCCCCCCGTGCCTCTGTGGCTCAGGTACTCACGGAAGCAGCCCTGTCTCCAGTAGTAGTTGGGCAGACAGTCGTCACACTTGGGCCCCGTGGCACCTTCCTTGCATTCACAGTAGCCGGTCTCGTTGCAGCGGTCGTGCATGGAGCCGATCTGGTTGCAGTTACATTCTGGCCAAGGACAGGGTGGTCAGTGCCTGTCCTGCCTGGGGGCTCTGTGCATGCTAATTCCCTGAGGGAGGAGCTGGAGGCTTTGGAAAAGCCTGGTGATGTGCTATGGGAGGGACCTTATAGACCAAGGGGCTGGGAGGACATGGTGACATAAGAGGCCCCAACAGTGCAAACAGCCACAGGTGCAAGGGCCACCCCACTTTGAAGCTGAGCCCTCCTGGCTGAACAATACATCTGAATCCAGCTGGAAAGATTTTTTTTTTTTATGTGAGGGTAGTGAGGCACTGGCACGAGTTGCCTGGAGAATCTGTGGCTGCTCCATCCCTGGAAGTGTTCAAAAACATGTTGGACAGGGGTTGGAGCAACCTGGGCTAGTGAAAGGTGTCCTTGCCCATGGCAGGGGGTTGGAATGAGACAATCTTTAAGGTCCCTTCCAACATGAGCAGTTCTGTGATTCTATGCTATTATTTGGGCTTTGTTTGCAGGGAAGAGATACCTTGGCAGGCTGCAGAGACTCTAACAGCTGCTTACCTTGCAGAGCATGCAGGTGGACACACCACCCTCCAGAGAGGGGCTGAACTGAAGCCTACCCCAGAGGGATGACCCACATGAGCTGTCCCACATGCTGGTGCTGCTGCCCCAGGCTGGAGCACTCACCTATACATACATTCTCATCGTCCAGCTCGGCCGAGCTGTTGCGGTAGAAGCCCAGGCGGCAGTGCTGGCAGTGCTGGCCACGCGTGTTGTGCTTGCAGCTCACACAGGTCACCACGTTCAGGAAGTCGATGAAGCTGCAGCGGTTGGAGTGGCCATAGCACTCACAGTCTGCAGAGAGGAGGAGAGAGCTGCTGGGGACCCGTGCCAGGAGCAACCTCCCTGCACTGGGCAGGGGAGAGGAGCCACGAGGCTGGGGAGGAGGAGGCTCCTGCCTGGGTGGAATGCCATGGCCACTGCCAACACAGGGCTGGGGTGGGTGGGCAGGATGAGTGCACACAGCAGTGGCTGTTCTTCACCACCACAGAGGGATTGGGCTTTGCACAGGGAGCAGAGAGAGGTCAGGGTCTGTGTCCCGTTAGGGTGAGGACAGGCAGGAACCAGCTCCTGGCAATCCCAGGATGTGATATTGTTCAGGAACTGCTTAGTCATGGGAGCAGGCAGTGGAGGGGAGAATGGTGTTAATTACAGAGCTGCCTTGCCAATGCAGACCTCAGCTCAGTGCCTGGGTTTGGCTCTGGGGGCTGCAGGACCCATGAGGAGCTGGGCTGGGGTGCAGAGCCCCAAGGAAGGCTCTGCTGAAGGCTACACCATCTCACGGTGGCATGGAGGGGACTGGCCCATGGGACAGGACAGGCAGAGGGTGCAGCAGCAGGGGGACATGAGGTGACCTGGTCGCCTTGTGGCCCAGCTGTTCTGGTTCCCAGCCAGCACAGGCTTGGGATAATGTGAGCAGAAACACTGTCAGCCAGGGCTGAGCTTCCCCAGCCTTTGGAGAGCAGGGAGGCTCTGAGCTGGGGTTTTGTTCCAAGCTGTAACATTCAAGAATGGCAGAGGGATGGAAGGGAAGGGTGTGGGTTGGCATGCACATGCAACTGGAGGTGGAGACTTGTCTCAATGAAATGATGATCAGGGAAGATGGAGGAAGACGGAGGTTTCCCCATGGTTCACAGCTGCCTGAGAAGGAGCTGAGAGTCTGTTGGAATCTTGACCCTCTCTGAAACAACTTCTGCCTCCTCAACCAATATCTAAAGAATTTCAGGTCACATTATTCTGGCTGCAATTCCCAAGCATCGTTCCAGTCTAGGGATGCACTCCTACATACAGCTAACCACGACTCAAACAGCCAGACCCTCCCCATCCTCTCCATAGCTGAGCCTGCTGGACCACATTACCTGGGCGAAGATTTGTAGCCCAGGAGCACTGAGCTCCCTCCTCTTACCTTTGTATGTTTGGACAGGAGCCAGTGGGACAGCGTTGGGTTTGAGCCGGAGGAGTTTGGAGCTCTTTGAGGTTGCTTAAGAAAAATCAGAGACATGCTTTTTCTCACTGCTTAGCACCACCCCACGTCCTCCCTGCCACGAGAACAATGCCGAGCCGAGCCAAGAACACCGCTCTGGCAGCACTGGCATCTATTTCTGCACCAGACAGCTGGTAGCTGCTACATTTTTCTCCCCTCCTCAAAGTTCAATGCACAAAAAACTCAATGCACAGTGCCATTGCAGAGCTGGGAGGAGCTACTCACACGTCTCCCTTTTATTCAGTGGTGTGGATCAGGTTGTTTGGAGTAAGGATCTACAAGCCTGAACAACTTAAAAGCACTATCTACTGGTCATGGCCTCGGTTTGAAGGAGGTCATGCCAACCAGTACCCCAAAAATGCAAGGAGGACAAGCACTATGGAGGTGGTATCTGGCAGGGGCTGCTACAGGGTCCTGCAGAGCAGGTGGTGCTCCAGCCTGGCCCATCCCCACCAGTGCATACCTGTTTTTTTCCCATGCTTCTTGCCTGCAGAGTGTGCTGTGCGTCCTGATTTGCTCTTCGGAGCCACTACACCAGAGGATAAAACATATCTGAGTGCTGTGGTGGGGAGAGGTCTCCCAGGGCCAGCCCAGCAGATGTTTCCTCAGGGTAAGAGGCTGCCTTAGCTGGGATGGTGCTCCCTGTGGGTTGTGCTGCCAGTCAGACCCCCATCCCACATGGAATGACCCAGTTCTGGCTGTTGTTTCCACATTGAGCTGATGAGGTTTGGTGCTTGGGGGCTTTTGTGCTTTAGTAAGAACAGTGAGGGGCAAGTTTGAACAGCACTGAGGTCCCACTCTCCGTGTAGCAGCACCTACAGGTGTATCTATTCCTCAAAGGAGAGGCCATGGGTGTGAGGAGGCTCTATAGGTTGTTGGGAGCAGGGTGATGTGCTAACGAGGCTTGGCCCTGTTGAGCCAGAGCAGCCCATCAGCCCAATGAACTCTCTATAGGTTGTTGGGAGCAGGGTGATCTGCTAATGAGGCTTGGCCCTGTTGAGCCAAAGCAGCCCATCAGCCCAATTAATCTTGCCCAATTAACTTTGGCTGAGGAAAAGTGTGGGCTCCTCCCCTGTGGCAAAAAAAAAACCCTTCCCAAAGCAGCCAGAAGGTCCATGGGCTCTCCCAGCCCCAAATGTCTCCAAAAAGAAATCCACAGAACTGAGCTGTGATGGACCCTCTGAGTAGAAGAGCAGATTGTATGATGGTGGGTCATGCTGAGGATAGGTAAGTTATCTTGGCCT